GGGGGGAAGAAACATACCTCCAATAAATCTCTGTTCCAGGACTTGCCATCTCCAAGTAACAACTCACTCACCGATGTCACTTTGCTTGCCCCAGCTTGGTTCCAGACAGGCAGCCCATTTGTTTTCTCTGGTATCCAGGGGTCATGCCAAACATTAATGTTGCTACCTTGTCTGACTACAACTTTGAAGTGCTCTTTGAATTTGTCTTTAACCACCATCCAGTTACTCCACAACCATGAAACAGTATAAAGCTTTTTAGCTTGCAGCAGGGAACAATCATGGTAGTATTTTCCTTTGAGCACTCTAGCAACTAGCAAATGAGGTTGAGTAATCAGTCTCCAAAGTTGCTTGAGGATAAGGGCCTCATTGAAGAGCATCACATCCCTGAATCCTAGGCCTCCCTCATCCTTAGGCAATGTCAGATTATTCCACTTTTTCCAATGAACTCCTGTCTGCAAATCACTTTTAGCCCACCAGAATGTAGCAGATAGCTTGGTAATCTCTTGACAAATTCTTTTTGGTAGACAGAAACAAGACATTGAGAACACAAGAAGAGCCCCCAGCACTGCTCTCATTAAGACCTCCTTACCAGCTGCAGACAAGAACTGATTTTTCCAACTCATAAGCCTGTCTCTAACTGCCTTCAGTACAAAATCAAAGGATTCTTTTTTAGATTTCCCAATACCTAGGGGCAACCCTAGGTATCTAGTTGATCTATGGTCTTGAATGTCTCCCAGCAGATGACAAAGCTCAGATTTGAGAGTAGGCAAACAATTTCTGCTAAAGAAAATAGAAGACTTCCCCATGTTAACCTTTTGACCTGTGAATTGATGGTATTTGTGCAACAGTTCCATGAGTTTTCTAGCATGACTCCTATCATCTTTACACATCACAAGGGTGTCATCTGCAAACATCAATTGTGATATAGCAGGGCTGTGTTTGGCAATCTTCAGACCACAGAAAGAGCCACTATTTTCCTCCCTTTTGATTAGCTTAGACAAAACTTCTGAAATTATGATAAAGAAGTATGAAGAAATAGGGTCTCCTTGCCTGATGCCCCTAGAGGCAGAAATGTAGCCTTTTAGCTCCCCATTTATAATGAAGGAAAAGGTAAGAGAAGAGAGACAAGCCCAAATCCAATTGACAAACATCTCATGAAATCCCATTCTTAGCATCACCTTCCTAACACTGTTCCACTCAATGCGGTTGAAGGCCTTTTCCATATCCAGTTTAAGCAACATGTACCTTCTATTCCCAGAAACATGCCTATTTAGAAAATGGACACTTTCTTGAGCAAGAACCACATTATCGAGGAGTTGTCTCCCTAGGACAAAAGCGGCCTGGTTTTCACTGATGCATGCTGACAGGCAAGGCTTAATTCTCAGAGACAAGATCTTGGCTATTACTCTGTATGCTACACCACACAAACTAATGGGCCTGTATTGCTTCAAGGTAGATGGGCTCAAGCACTTTGGTATGAGAGAGATCACCGTGTGGTTCCAGCTTTTCAGTAGCTTTCCAAATTCAAAGAAACTCAATACTGCCTTGCAAAAATCATCACTGATCACATCCCAGAACTTTTGAAAAAAAATCCCATCCTGGCCAGGGGCCTTGCCAGGGTCCATGCTAAATAGGGCTGATTTTATCTCCTCATTTGTGACAGGGGCTGTGAGAGAGTCATTTAACTCTTGTGTGATAGTTTCTGGAATAAGGTGCAAGATGTCAGCTTCCCCAAATGAACCCTCTGAACTGAAAAGTTGCTTATAATATTGGCATATATAGGGTCAAATACCACAAAGTATATAAATATAGGGTCACGCTCCGGTGAGATTGGTGCTCCAGGAAAGAAATAAGAATACATCGTAGCCATTAGATTGGATGATCTAATGACTAAAAAAAGTCACAATTTTACATTCATTAAGGATAATGTGGTAATTGTCCACCTCAAACAACGCACCACACACCAACTCACGTTTACTCACGCGTGTCCCCATCCTGGCAACACATCTCCCCCCTCTCTCTCATATTCCTTCCCTCACTCACACCTTCCTGTCACACACACACACACATAAAGTATTTCTGTCAGATTCCACGATTGCACCGTCGCCCGACTCCCGCCGGTACCGGGACTGACCCACGTTTGCAGCCGCCAGTCCGCCATGTGCAGCCTAGCTGCCAGGAGTGGTGAGCTATGTTTCTCTAACTCACGAAGTCCTCCTCCACCGTGCAGTTTTGACGCAAACCGACCGCCGCCATGATCATCTAACCACCGGAAATCGCTACCTCCACTGTATCGCCTGCCATCTCCACCCAAGTCCGCTACGAGCTCGTCAGTTCAAAAGTTTGGCCGAAATCCGCTTAGCTCCGCTGTCATGTCCGGCATCGTCGGAGAATCCATCGTTTCCGGCATCGCAGTCTCGGTCGAGTCAGACCTGCAAGTTGATTTAGGGATTTGGGTGAAATTGGTGATATAATGGACCGGCAAGTAGGGATGGGGTGTTCACGATTCGGATTGGTCCGGTTTTAGCCCAAACCATGACCAAACTGGACCTACGGTTAATTTTTTTTCTTGTCCATAACCGGATCGGTTTTATTTTTTAACCGGCCACAATCCGAACCGTATTGGACGGTCCGGTTTGACGGTTAACCGGTTAAATCCAAAATTCTTGTTTTGGGCCTTCAATTTTTTTTTTTTTTTTTTTTTT